GCTTCTAACAATGTTCTCCGTGCGGTGGCGTAACGGTTCAGTGCAGTAAGACTTGCTGAACCACAAATTCCGCAAGGCTTGCACAACTACTGACGGCTAGCAGTCTGATAACATTATCAAAAGGCGCTTGACAAATATTAGAAACGGAATATGGATATAAGCTTAAATTTTAATTTAAGCCTCCCGCTCACACCAGAAGTACATGATAACGGTTTTAAAACTTTTCAAACATCTTGAGCGATTTTTTGTCAGCTAGTCCATCCCCTATCAACTACGACGGACATCTTATGCCTCACAATATTCAGTAAGTATACACGACTTCGTCATCGATGTCTCATCAAAATAGAGTGTTAGAGTGGTGCAGTTCAATAAGTTTCCATTCAATGGTTCTAAGCACATGGAAAAAGACAGACTGTTGTCCTCACCATAACTGCCAAAGTTTCAGCCAAACTAATTTTGTCATTCTCGGGGCAAACAATGTAACTGAGTCTGAGGATGGCTAATGTGGTTTCGCCGAAACTTCTCAAGTTATGATAAGGTCTACGTTCTGTCTGCATCCATGTATTGTGAACCATCGAATCGGATGTTTATTGAAGATGATAGAAACTTTAAATCAGTTTCATAAATTATTTATGATTGAGCTCCTTCAGATAACTGGGCCACACGTGACTGCTGTTTCTACCAGCCATGAGAGTGTTTTCATGCCTATTCAAAATACAACGCTGCTCCACTAAACCTGTATGGTAAACAGTTGGAAATTGGATTCGTTGGGTCATTTATGTCTAACGTATTAAGCGGCTGCTTTCTATCGGTCATAATGATCATCTCATGAAATGTATCAAGGATATTTTGAAATCATCATACATAGCGCCTGAGCGAAGTTGAGTACTAAATATTTGGTGTTCATGCAACGCTTTTTAGCAATGAATGAACTGTTTTTCCGACTGTCATTCTTTTATAATTGCAGCAGCTGCTTTGTGCTTATACACACTTCGACCCACCGTGACAATTTTATGGAAATTATTTTAAAATTTCTTAAATAATTCTTAAGAAATATGTTTTGCAGCTACTCTCTTTTATGCATGCTAGAAAGTTTATGTTCATAAACAAGAATCAATGAATGGTTAAGAAATCACCATATATCAATAGTAGCATTGCGTTGGCTGTTCAATAATAGGGAGAATAGTAATGTACTCAGTAACAATAACGGCACTTTTCAATAATCGAGAGAATGCAGCACATTTGCGGGTCATGCAAGAGTATGCGAAACATTCGTTAATGCCCTCTGAACCTAGTAACTTTGGATTGACCCATTTAATGAGCAGTAGTTGTAAATATAAAATGTAAAAACAAGACAAGAGATCATTACGGAGCTGGCACTGGGACATGAAATTACGTGGATATATTTGCTAATTCCAGCGCCAAGAAAAATATGTAGCTGACACATAATAACGATCCGGCAGTGCCGAAACTACCGATTTGCGGGAAACAGGGCATTGTGTATATACGTGAACGGAGAGTGACATTTCGGTAGGTATTTGAAACTGGACAACGAAGTCTATAAGTAGTATATACTTTGATTATCATATCCCAATTTTGACTTGTACGCTTTGGAAAGGTACCTTCTTCGCTCTGCCCCTTTCCATGGACACTCTAACACTTCCATTTCCGCGCTGAATTATATCTTAGCGTTTTCTCACCTTTCAAATAACTTATAGACAACGAGAATTTGAGAATCTGAATCCACTGATAAATTTAACCGCTTAAAATTGCTGCATTTAACTTCGATCGTACTAACGTTCCTCGCCAGGCTTATTTAATCTAAGCACTTATTTCGGTTGTTTCAGATTTTCGTAAGTTGTGCTGCAGTATAACCTCTGTGTTCAATATTCCTCAAAGATATCATTTGCTTGGTACATAATATGAATCTTTTACATAACTTGTTTGTGAAAAGAAATCAGTACTATTTGGCATAGACGGTGAACAGTGCAAAATTATTTTATTTGAGCACATTAGCACTCAACTGACGTTTCGATTAAAGACCCGTTTTTCGAGTTCTAAGGAAATTCTCTTTTAACTCTGAAAACAGATCGAGGTTCAACATAAATTTAGTTTGCCTAAATATTAAAATAAGTAATGCCGATTCGTATTATTCATCAGTTCATGTCATGCCGAAAGAAAACAAAGTTGTCGCTGTATCACTGCTTTATACTTTGCTTTGGGTATCAGTGACATAATTTAAGTTTTCAATATGTGGTCGAGCTAACGACTATGTGAACGTCAGCCATTAGATAGTTCAGGGCGAATTAGAACTGAAAGGCACACACATTAGGCAGAATTTACATAGTCTCGTACTTTTGGACAGAAGCATAGCGGATAAACATATGTTCCAGTGTTCGTCGTCTGACGACCTCCCATTTGTCTGCCCGGTTGACTGCACTGAAATGTAGCATTAAGAGTTCTTTTTGTCAATTGGATTAATTGAAAACAAGAAAAATTTGCTTTGCGTCGCAATTCGACACAATGCAAAGACAGCTACTAGATCTGCCATTATTTAGTTTCTACGACTATTGTCCTATGAAGCTGGGTGTGTTACTAATGAAGAGCCATTAATTTTAGAAACAATACTTTTCATTAATGTTTATTTTTGCTAAACAGTGTAAAGATGAATGCCAGCATAGGCAGATAGTTAAAGATCTGGCCAAACAGTTGATCTTGATTTACGGTTCCACTCTGTTGCTGCGGATCAGGAAACATTACCTGAAGATCGTACAGTAGATTAGAACCGTCAGTAAACGATGACATCTTTTCCATAACTTTCGGTGTCCTCTTTTCATGATTGACTGTGGAGTAATTTAAGGAAAAACAGTCAGCTATCGTTATCATCGAATATAAGGTAATCAGCCATAAGTTGCCGAGTCGAGATTGCTGACGTTTGTGCTGATGTCATGGACGTGACAGCTTATATCATACGTGACGTTGACAATAAGGTTGAATTGATAGGCGTTTGAGCAATGCTGTTGAATGTTCATAATGTCGGTTGTGGTGTAGGCCCGTTATAACCGTTGTATAAACGAAATGCTTTCATTGTAGTTGTTTTATGTCATGCTGTTCGAGGCAGAAAACCGTAAGCTACATCGCCTCTTGTCAGTAGTCATGTTACATTATCGCTTTGTTCGATCGTCGTTTGGGAACGCTGCGTTTAGTCGCGCTTTAATTGTAAGGTTATCGACCTCCAAGAAGGTCTGAGCTGTCCGTGACGTTAGGGCAGCTATTGGTCGGATTAGGATTGTAGTGCTCTTGTGATTCTTGGACGCCTCTGTGGTTTTGCCTCGTATATAGCCACGGCCTCAGAGGACATGCCTGGAAGTGAATGTAAAGTAATATTTTCTGTTCCTCCCTCTCTTATTTGCGATAGAGGTAGAATCTTTGCTTTGCTAATCTATGATACTCCGTTGTCCGCATATTCGAACTGTTCATACAGCTTGTCTCGGTCCTGCTTCCGTCGATCAGACGGACGTAATGAAAAATGATGAATTGGTGAAAAATGATTCTCGTTTTTCTCATTACCTTAGTGTTGTTTTCAATGCGATTCTTCGTTCTTTTCGCCCGGCTTTTAGTGAATACACGGTGGCAGGTATCCGCTCAAATCCGACACTTCATCACTGCTACATAATCATCATGACAGTACCATGTTTGGCTGAACTTTATACAATTGCCCCCCCCCACCCCAACCTTCTGCTGACAAACCCTCATTAGTGCCAGATTCGTAATTCGTTGTATTTTTGGGGTTTACAAATGTTGTGGCAAAGTGACTTGTTAATATGTAATCACAACCTTTTTTCTGCCCATTACACATTCTAATCCAGAACTTAGTATCACTACTCCTTGTCTTCCAGACACGGCAGCCACACCATGTTTTGCGTACCTTACACGTGGTTTAGAGCCACCATGAGATGCAAGATGGTTGGCGAACTTACTTCATTTTTGACAATGGTCGTTCGCTTGTCTGCCCGCCCTTTGGATGACAGTGCGAAAAGTTTACTGAATATGAAATTTCTTATATAAGTATCATATATGGTCCGTTTTCCGCAAGTGAGAGTCAATGTAAGTGGAGTTTATTTTCACTCTCTGAAAACAGAACAAATATGATTCAAAGCGGCCACGATTTCGTA